CCTTCGGCTCAGGTCATGATCCTGGAGTCCTGGGATCGAGTCCCACATCGGGCTCCCTGCTCAGCAGGGAGTCTGCTTCTCCCTCTGACCCTCTTACCTCTCGTACTATCTCTCATTCTCTCTCACTCAAATAAATAAAAAAAATAATAAAATAAAAAAAAAATAAAAAAAAATTTAACCACAAACATATATATTCCTAAACAGTATATTGTTTGGGTTTATGTAATTATATTGTATATTCTTTAGTACTAGCTATTTTTTTCTCAGCATGGTTTGCGAAATTCATCTGTGTTTTTGCTAATAGTTGTCTCCATTTGTTTTCACTGCTCTATAGTATCTTTTCTGTGAATATAAGACAGCTTGTTTATCCATTCTCCTGTCAATGGATATTTTAATTGAAATATAATTTACATACCATAAAATTTATCCTTTTAACGGGTACATACAATTCAGTGGCTTTTTAGCATATTCACATAGTTGTGCAGCCATCACCACTGTCTAATTCCAGAACATTTTCATCACCCCAGAAAGAGACTTCATACCCATTAGCAGTCATTCCTCATTCCCCCTTTCTCTTTCTACCCACCCCAGCCCGTGGCAACCACTATTCTACTTTCTGTCCCTGTGGATTTGCCTGACCTGCGCATTTCATACGGCCAGACTCATCCACCATATGGCCTTTTGTGCCTGGCTTCTTTCACTCAGAGGCATGATGTGTTCGAGGTTAACCCATGTTGTAGGATATATGGCTATTTCAGTCCTTTTTATGACTGAGTGATATTCCATTGTATGGATATATCACATTTTGTTTACCCTTTTATCAATTGGTGGATTTCTGGGTTGTTTCCCCTTTGGGGCTCTTATGACTAATGCTGCTATTAACATTTATGTACCAGTTTTTGTGTGGACATAATGCTCAATTCTCGGGAATGCGTTGTTAATACAAATATTTTCCAAAATGGATGTACCAGTTTCTTCATGCTCACCAACAGTGTATAAAAATTCCAGACCCCCTTTTTAAACCATTTTTTTGTAATAGTGGACAAAGTATTTATGTAAGTTTTAAAATATTTTCTTGAAACTTCTTGCTTCCTAATCAAGAGAATTATACATTTGATAAAGATGTTTAATATGATTTGTTATGTAGAGAGATTGTTGATGCTATGGATAAACTCATGGTGGATAAACTCCACCATGAATGTTGGAAAACCAGTTCCGCTGACAGATATATAATATATGCTTTGGTTTGTTCAGTTTACCCGGAGTATTTTGTTTAGCCTTGTAGCTTGTTGATCCAGATAAAATGACCAGATTTGACTACTCTTGGATGGGATTAGAAAGAGTAATTTTCATTGATACTTCTTCTTGAAAGTGTTATAAAGTAGCATTTAAGATTCATACCAAATGATCAATGACTGGTTTATAAATGGAAGAGTACGTTACAAACCATTAACACTAAATTGCGGAAAGAAGTGGCTTTAATTCATAGGTGTAAAAATACAGAGCCATACTAGAAATTAGTACCAAGTAATAAGCCAGTTACACTTGAACTCTCAGACATTGCTGGTGGAGGAGGAATGCAAAATGGTTCATATAGCCACTTTGGAAAACAGTTTGGCAGTTACTTATAAAATTAAACATACACTTAACCATACCACCCAGCATTCCCACTCCTGGGTATTTGCCTAACAGAATTGAAAACTTAAGTTCATACAAAAATCTATAGCAGTGTTTTTCATAATTGTTAAAAGCTAGAAACAACCCACATGTCCTATAACTGGTAACATGGAAGAACAAAATGTGTTAGATGATACAATGAAATATTACTCAGCAATAAAGAGGAACAAATTACTGATCTGTGCAACAACATGGATGATTTCAATTGTATTATAAGTGAAAAAAGACTACACACTGTATGTTTTTTTTTTTTTAATATGACATTGTGCAAAACACAAAATTGTAGACACAGCATGCTGATCAGTGGTTGGGGGGAGGAGTGGGGGATGTTGACTACAAAGGAACACCAGGGAAAATTTTGGGCTGATGGAGATGTTCTCAATTATGGTGATGGATTCTCTGTGTCTGCCAAAATCATAGAACTATGTAGTAAAAAGAGTGAATTTTACTATATGTAAGTTATACCTTAATAAACCTTACTCAGAGCTCTCAGCTTAGGGAATCTCCCCTCTTCTATATATAATATTTACTAAATTATTTTCTAAACAGTTTCCACATTGCCATGTTAAGTAGAAGACTACTAATTGGTAATTTGTTGAATTATGAAGGTTTTACATGTCCAGTTTAGTCTCTTTATGGTATAGTAAAGAAAAAAGCAATAGCCTAAATAAGATGGGCTATGTTTAGACTGTTATTGGGTAAAATATTTAAGAACTATTCAGGAATATTTACCTGTGCATTTGGGACAAAAGATACAAATCCCTATAATAACAGTCTTGAGCTCTGATGTCTGAGACCTAGCTGTACAATCAGTGGATTTTTTTTTCCTCTAAATTTTTAATTCACTAACAAGCACAGCACTGGGTATTATCCATTTGTGTGTGTGCATGCACATATATATTCACTGTGCTATGCTTATTGACAGTTATCTAGACTCCTATGTCAAAGAAAGTGTTGATCCTAATTTTTGTGATAAATATTTATTATTAAGTATTCATTTTGTATCATACTGGGAGAAAAGGATGATTAGAGTACATTCTAGCCGTTGCCCTTGAGGTGCTCACAATCTAATGGGGAGGCTGATCTGCATTATCCTCAATAGTGTGATATGCTTCATGGGGATAAAATGAAAGGTCTTAATTACCTAATTCAGAAGTATCATTCATAGTTAAATGCACTTTAAAATGAGATTTTCTTGGCAGTTCAAAATCACACTATTTCTAATCTGAATCCATTTCTCCCTGGCAGCCTGATCCTAGAATTCTCTAAGATCTTATGAGACTTTGTAACCTTGGTCTGTTGCCTAGTCAACAGAGCAGTCTTCATGCCTGTCCTTTGGAATCTTTATTTCCACTTGAACCCATGTTTGAGATGGTGGGTGTTAGGGCACTTATAAATGGTCTTTTGCTTCACTAAATTGATTCCCATACTTGTCTGGTGGTAGTTTAAGGCTTTAATAAGATGTGTTTATTCATCTAGATTAGATGGAAGAATATAGGCTTGGTAAACACGTAAATCTCTTTCCTGATGGTATGAGACACAAAATGCAGTCAAACCTTGTAAACTGAGATTGAGGAAAAATTCCTCCTATGAAAAGAAAATTAAAACTCATTGACAACCTATGGAGAGCTCAGAGACCATTACTTAACTCCCTGAGATAGTAATGTTTCTACTACAGTTTTCTCAAGAACTCTTCATATTAAATTGGATGGCTGCACATCACAACTGTATTTGCATTCAGGATTTCTTTATCTACATAGACATGTGAATTCTTGGTCAGTTTTTGAATTCTTGTGCCAGTTCTTGGCACATTTTGCTCACGAGAATGAGAATGTTTTCCATTTCACTTCCTATTACCTTCCTACCCATCTTCTATCATTGTCTGGGATTTCTCTTGTAGAGAAGGAAGGCTGTGAAAAGGGTGAGGTAAAGCAATGCAGGCTGCCAGAATTCCTTTCTGGGCCTTTCAGTTACCATTTGAAGAACAGTAACTGCTCAAATTTATGGAATAAGCAGCTTACATAATGAGGGCTATCTATTTACCCTGATGCTTGGGCTATTGCCTGCAGCAATTTTTTTTTTCATCCCTGGAGGAGGGATTAGGATTGTGGTAGTAGGAACTGGTCATCTCCTTTGTTTCTGGAACATTGCCTGTGTTGCTACCAAAGAAGAGGCCCACCCAGCCGGGGTGGAGCCTTCCTAGTTGGTCCTTCATTTGCCTCCTGCCTTGGAAACCCTGTGGGCTGGAAGCAGCACCCTGAGTCCTCAGACCTCTGGGCGAAGGTGCGGCCCCTTTAAGTCTTCAGTGTGTGCCGGGAGGGGGCCGAGGTGGGGCGGGCACTCTGACAGCGAGCTCTGGGCCCCGCCCCCGGAGGAGGCGTTTCCCAGCGGCCCTTCGCACCAATGCCGCCGCGGCCCGCCGGGTATTCCTGCTGATTCCGCTCGGACCGTAGGGCCCCCAGACCTCTCCCTGCTCAGGGAGCGTAAGTGTCAAACTGCGGGCGAGGGTCAAGCATCCGATTGTGCCCATGCCGGAAGTCCTGGTGGACTGTGCAGGAGACTTTCCTGGCCTATCAGAGGCTTAGGCTGCGAAAGAGCGTAAACAATGCCGGCTGCAGTGAGCTAAAGCCTGGGGCATCTGCTCTACTTCTGGGTGGTGACAGCAGCCCTAGGGTGCTTGTTTGGATATGCAGTGGTTGAGCGGTGTCCACGACCCAGCTTTGCCCCAGCCTGGTTCCTACTTGGGGTGAGGAGAGGATTGCTTTTACCCGAGTATATATAACCCCACTGAGCTGGATGGGTGGAGCTGGATCTCATGTCCTGGGCCTTGGGTCCTTCGCCTGGGATTTGGAGACCTGGATAGTTTAGGGATGAGTAAGCATTAGATTTTCAGCTACCATGGTACTGTTGAGCAGTAACTGTGGAAGTTGACCTAATTCACAGCCGGGTTTAGCTTTCCATCTCCCCAGAGGCCTGTGTTGGTGTGGGTCGCCCTTTTGGAGACATTAACAGTGATCGTTACTAGGGAGAGTCTAGTTAATCTTCTGTCCTGCTGATATGAATAGCAGGGTGTGTAAGAGACAGCTCAGACACCCCTCTTTACTCTTCTCCTTCAGAAGGAATTTGTGAGAGGCCACCATCCCAGGACTAGGACAGCAAGCACACCTAAGTTTGCCGAGATAACCTGCTAGAGAAGCAGTTCAGATTTCTGGCTTCCTGATAATGCAGAATACTCCAGCAAGAGGTTAATACTTGTCCTTGTTGATGGGAATTACCTGGAGGCAGTGAGGTTTTTTAAATTAGAGGGAAGGGCTTGTCATTTTGTTACTGGTTACTTAGAGATGAGCTTTTGTCTGGCTTGGCCAAGTAATAAAAATTTTAAATTTTCTGTGACAGTTACATAATTGTTATGCTGCTTTAGTCCATTTGTCCTTCCGATACAAGGTTTGAGTAAAACTTTCTGGGCCTGTATATGTGTTGTTTTATCCCTGTATTATAATAATTTTTTTTTTGAGTGAATCTATTATCATACTTTATTGGTCAAAGGGGTTGCTTTTTGAATGGGCAGAAATTTTCCTCAAACTTACCTCACGCTTATTCTGTGCTTTTGCAGTAGCATTTCCTTAGCCAGAAGTGAGAGTCCAGGAATGGTAATCAGATCCAGGTCTCTTGTATTGTGATAGTGAAGAGCTTTTGTAGGTCAAGAGCTTGGGAATTAGCCATAAAATAGTTCACTGCCACAGCTTCTTCCCAAGTAGAAAGCCAAACAGTCTGTTTAGTAGCTGTATAATTATTCTTATAGACTGTCAAGTTATAGGAACTTCAAATAAAAGGACACTACACTTGGACCTATGAGTGGTGCAGCAGAATTGGTGGACTGAGAGAAAGGAGATACAGATTGTAGGCCCAGCTCTAACATTTCTTATGACTTAGTCTCTTGGTGCCTTACTTTTAGCTGGTTGATGAATGAGAAAATGCATAGATTGCTTGGGTCTATATGTTATAATAATACATAACGCATATTTAATAGGTACTTTGTTATTTAATTGAATACTAAACTGAAAAATCAGTTTGAAATTTATTCTAAGTTCTACCTTTATTTGTGACCTTGGAAACATTTCTTAACCTCTGGTCTAAAAATAAACAATTACATCTAAACCTTTTTCAGCAGTAGTGTGGACTGTATGGTATTTTGAGCTCTTTGGAAGATGTTTTAGATACAGCAGTGGTATAAGATTATAATATTTCTGTAGAACAGAGTTATTTTAGCTGGCTTCCTTGCCTTATCCTCTTGTTTCAGGCCAGGGGGAAGCCTCTTGAGAGGTCTGAATAATTTGAAAGTATGAACATTTGTAGTATGGACTAGATTGAATGAACCATAGTAAGCATCATATATAGTTCAAATTAATTTTATTAATGCTTCTCTTTGTTGGCAACTTTATTCACTCTTGAAGCATCAAACCTTGCTATGTAATGACAACTTGACTTCCCATGTCTGTGTTTATAAAATCCAGAATCCCCTGTTTAATCCTGGTGCCACATTTCTAACCACTTGAAGATCCTATTTCTCAAGTCTAAAACCAAACTCATCATATTCTTCACCTCTTCTCTACTCCCCAAAAAATAATCCAGAACTACTTCTGATATTTTTATGTCATTAGCACTACTGTCCTAGTCACCTAGACTGGAGTCTCCTACTAGGCTCTTCCTACTCCCACATCCATACTTGCTGAGGCTTACTAATTCTAGTTCTTTAATGTAACTCCCTTCAGTCCCCCCTGCCCATCCTTTCCATTCCTAAGACCCCTATGGCTCCTATTTACCTTTGTCCTAGAGTACTGCAATAATTGCCTATCAAGATTCTATTTTTCTCTCCCTTTCAATCCATTCTACATAGATTTTTCTTTCTGAAGTAGATAGGATCGTGTCCTTTCCCTGCTTCCGTCATCAGCATCTTCTGCTGTTTAGCTTAATATTCAAGATTCTACATGATCTGACCCTAGTCTACCTCTCATCTTAGACTATAATAAATGGAGCCATTCACTGTTCTCTGAACATGCTCTGTACTTTCCTGTCTCCAAGACTTGGCCTCTTCTTTTCTCAGCCTAGAATATTTCCTTTTCTACTTTGGTTTGTTTGTCTGTTTTTTTAAAATCCCACCTGTCATTCAGCACTGAGTTCAGATGCCATCCTTTCTGTGAGATTTTCACTGACCATCCCTCACTCACTGGTGGTTAATCCTATTTTGAATTCCCATAACCCTGATTTATCCCTTGCTTAAAGCACTTTCCACACATAATGTATTTTGTATTATGATTATTTGTTTAGACTTCTTACTTGTACTCCTGTGAGCCTAGGTACATCATTGTTTGCCCATAGGGAAATTCAGTGAATGTGAATGCTTAAGGTAAAATTGGAATAGAGTAATTCCTTATTATTAGACCTTGTTATTAGAAAGGACTCTAACCTGTGCAGCCAACCCATGCACATGTAAAATGATCAGTAGCTTGAACAAATCATTCTTATTTTTCTTACCGCCTAAGGACTTTTGTTCGTAAACTTTTTTTTTTTTCTTTTTTTAAGCAGTTGGGTTTTTTTAAAGATTTTATTTATTTGAGAGAGAGAGCAAGCACAATCGGGGGGGGGTGGGGGGAGGGAGAAGCAGGCTCCCCGCTGAGCAGGGAGCCTGAAGTGGGGCTTGATCCCAGGACCTTGGGATCATGACCTGAGCCCAAGGTAGCTGCCTAACCAACTGAGCCACCCAGGCCCCCCTAAAAAGCAGTTTATATTTAATGAAATATAATTTATCTACCACTCACCATTTAAAGTGTACAATTCAGTAGCTTTTCTAGATTGTGCAGTCATCACCATAGTCAATTTTAAAACATTTTCATTACTCCAGAAAGAAATCCCATACTACACTCCTTAGGCTTCACCCTTTTAATTTCCCCCAAACACTTCAGTCCTAGGCAAACACTGATCTACTTTCTGTCTCTATAGACTTGCCCATTCTGGATATTTCCTATAAATGGAATCATATGATATGTGGTTCTTTGTGACTGGTTTCTTTTAGTATAATGTTTTCAAGGTTCATCCATGTTATAGCATTTATTAGTACTTCATTTCTTTGGTGTGTGTCATTTTTAAGCGTGCAGGTCACTGGTATTAAATACGTTCATTATGTTATGGAACCATCACCACCATCCATATTCATAATTTTTTTCATTTTGGAAAACTGAAGCTTTATACCCCATTCCCCAATCCATCCATTCACTGACAACAACCATTCTCCTTTATGTCTCTGATTTTGACTACCTCATTTAAGTGGAATCATACAATATTTTTCTCTTTGTGGCTGGCTTATTTCACGTTAGCCTGATGGCCTCAGGGTTCATCCAGGTTCTAGCATATGTCAGAATTTCTTTTTAAGGCTAAATAATATTCCATTTTATGTGTATTCCACATTTTAGCTATTGTGAATAAAGTTGCTATGAAATGAACATGGGTATACAAATATGTCTCTGAGACCCTGCTTTCAATTCTTTTGGGCATATACCCAGAAATGGAATTGCTGGGTCATATGGTAATTCTATTTTTAATTTTTTGAGAAACTGCCATACTGTTTTCCACAGCAGCTGTACCATTTTACATTTTTTTTTTTTAAGATTTTATTTATTTATACGAGAGAATGAGTGAGTGAGAGATAGCACAAGCAGGGGGAAGAACAGAGGGAGAAGGAGAAGCAGACTCCCTGTTGAGCAGGGAGCCCGATGTGGGGCTCATCCTGAAACTCTGGGATCATGACCTGAGCTGAAGGCAGTCGCTTGATCATCTGAGCCATCCAGGTGCCCCCCCTTTTACATTCTTTTTTTTTTTTTTTTAAAGATTTTATTTATTTCACAGAGAGAGACACAGCGAGAGAGGGAACACAAGCAGGGGGAGTGGGAGAGGGAGAAGCAGGCTTCCTGCTGAGCAGGGAGCCCGATGTGGGGCTCGATCCCAGGACCCTGGGATCATGACCTGAGCCGAAGGCAGACACTTAACGACTGAGCCACCCAGGCGCCCCCCCCCCTTTTACATTCTTAACAACAGTGTACAAGGGTCTCAATTTCCCCACATCCTTGTCAACACTTGTTTTGTTTTGATAGTAGCCATCCTAATAGGTGTGAGGTAGTATCTTAACAGTTTTGATATGCATTTCCATAATGATTAATAATGTTGAGCATCTTCTCATGTGCTTATTGGCCATTTGTAGATTTTCTTTGGAGAAGTGTCTAGTCTAAAGTCCTTTGCCCATTTTTTTATTGGGTTGTTGTTTTTGAGTTTTAGGAGTTGGGGTTTTTTAGAGCAGGCTCAGTCCCACGACCCCGAGATCATGACCTGAGCCAAAATCAAGAGTCAGGCACTTAACCAACTGAGCCACCCAGGCGCCCCTTAGGAGTTCTTTATAGTACTTCATTTCTTTTTATTATTGAATAATATTTCATTGGTATGGACTTAACCATATTTTTTTTATCTGTTCATCAATGGATGGACATTTGGGTGGTTCCCATTCTTTGGCTCTTGCGAATTTAGTTTGGTTTCAGTTTGCTATGTATATTGAAAGCAGTACTACATTCCTCTAAAGAAAACATTCGACCTTTAACTTATGTGACTTTTAATGAAATTGTTACATTGTATTCTATATGTATTCCATTTTATATAGATTCTGAGGTTCCTCTTCATTACTTCCTGTATATATTCTGA